TTTTTGGTTCTAATCACATTTCAATTAAACTTGGAAACATAGATTTTCTGTACATTGCGCAGACTCATTAGTTTTCACTCAAATCTGTTCATATAATTTTCTGATTTGCATAATTAGTTTTCAGCTAAGTAATTTCGAATTATATTTAATGTGTCTCCAATACTCTCAGCACATGGGAGTTCTTTCTAAGCTTTCTTTGATTTTTGTCTATCTGTACTTGTTTTTTCAGATAATTTTGAATAGTATTATAGTCAAACCATTGTTTTTTTTTAGGCTGAATGTTTGGATGAAGATCCTGCTCCTCTGTTAGTTTTTGTTAATGTGAAAAGTGGTGGTTGCCAAGGTGTGGAAATGATCAACTATATTAGAAAATATGTAAATGCCCATCAAGTGTTTGATTTAGATCTAGGAGGCCCTCTACCAGCGTAAGTCATCAGAACTTTTGTTTTTATTTTTTAACCAAACTGTCTGTTGTATACATTAAAGACAATTAAATCTTGCAGCCCCACTTTATGTAACATGTAGTACACAACATATATTAGGTCAAGACTGGTTTATATGAAATCACTGCTGTTTCCAATTTATTTAAACTTGAACTACAAATTATTTTAACAATTTATCGTTGCACACTGTGCTTACAAATGTACACCAAATATTCCGCTGATTTCATGATAGCCATGCTTTTCCCAGTTTGATAACATTCTAACAATTGAATAGCTGCTATCATGATGCCAAAACATAACATTTGTAAATACTCTCCAGTGTGTGTTGGGTTTACTGTCATACATGTAAGAGGCATTTTGCAATTTACTGTCCAAATTGTGTATTTTAATGTCAATGTTTTCGGTTCATTCTGTCTTTAATCTCTCTCTCTCTCTGGAGCTTGTTTTTGCTTGCAATTGCTTACTAGTTTGTCTTCAGCTAAACACTGTTATCTCACAATCAATCAAAAACCACAAATGCAATATATTGTGTCAAGCTTGAAACATTTTAGACTGGTTTCTTACAAATTTTGTTCAACAATTTTGTGGCTCAGACTAGTTAGAAGACTCATTCTCTTTCGCCTTAGTTTGAATTCCATGAAGCAAATATGATTTCAATTTTGAAGGAAAACAAAGAATAAATCTAGATTGCATGTAACACAGACTTGAGACTGGTCTTTTTTGGTAAAAGTGATATTTTTGACTTCTTCTTGAAAACCGCAAGTCTGATTGCTTTGATATTATACATAAAGGTACCTCTTTCAGATTTGTTCCTTTTTCTAATGATATCTTCAGTTCTTTTATTGAAATGTGCATTGTTAACAGCGGAGCTATCTCAGCCGATAGGCTGCTTGTTATTTATATTGTGAAATGGTTACAATTCAGGCATTTAAATGTCCATCCTGTAGCTGACACAAACTGTACCACTTGGCTGCAAGATGCATCCTTCAACAACATGACTTCC